ATGGAACTTAAAAATGCACTCTTGACTAGTTGAAATATAAACGTACAAATGTATAGTTCTTATTTAATCTGATTGTAGCAACTAGCCAAGTTATCGCTAATTTACAAATGAGTAACGGTAGTCTATTTTTCTCCAGTGATGTTCTCTTAGATTTATATCAAAACAAGTACTTTTAGAGAAACTGATCATCATCATAAAAATCAGAGTTCTGGCAAGATTATTCCTCACTCTGCGTGTGTGTGTGTGTGTGTGTGTGTGTGTGTGGTGTGTGTGTGCGCGTGTGTGTGTGTCCAAGAGAGAGCAGACAGGCATAAAGAGGTAGGTAGGGAGAAAGAAGGAGAGGGACACTGTTTAAGTTCCATCTTTTGACCTTACTCTTTCCGCTACTTTATCTGTTTTTTTCTTGTTGTTGTTGCTGTTGTTCTGGGTGAGTTTGCACAAAAAGAGCATCTCTTACAAAAGAGGATCCCTTACAAAAATCATAAACCCATCCACTATCAAAACAGGCGGCAAGTTCACACAGCTTGGTTCTGTTTCTAGTGCCTTGTGGGAAGTGAACTGTACTTTCAGCATTGGTAGGATTATTATTAGTATTAGCTTCTGTACTTTTCTGGGGTGGAGTGGGGTAAGGGGGGGCTCCTGGGACAAAGAGAATTTGACAGCCATGAATGAACCGTCCCCCCAGGAGCAGACAGGACAAGCCCTGGGCTTGCTTTGTGTTTCGATTCATGCACAGTTTCATCTTGGACATACACATCATGGTAAGATGCACTGGGTTTTAGCTGTTAAAGGTCACCATTACCAATTTCATGTTCACCTTTCAGTTGAAACAAAATAACCCAAAAAGCAGAAAGAAAAAGAAAAAAAAAGAGCAAGTAGTGCTTTTCTCTTTTGGTGGTTGTTGATTGTTGAGTTAATTCGCTGGTGCGTTAGAGCAGGTTTGGGGCGTGAATGCCTTCAGGGGAATATTCCTGGAGCTAAAACAAAGTACTCTTAGGTAGGGTCCAAACCATGAAAACAACGCATCTTTCTGACACGAGGAAGAGTTCAGTGTCCAGGAGACACGAAAGGTGAACCCACAAGCCAGGAGAAAGGTGTGAACGAGGACTGGACAATGGTTAAAAAAACACGTGCTTCTATATTGTACATAATAATGATATAAAAGCAACGGGGTTTTCTTTTGTCCTTATTCAGAGTGCTTAAAACAAATGAGTTCTACATGACTGTAGCAATTAAGTAATCAAAATAAGTGACGAGAATTTAAGTTAGCTCCAAGTTAACGTGACCTTCCTATACACACACTCCTTCGTTATTAAACACCAGGAGTGAGTAACACTGTCGGGCCCAAATGGTTTTTGTTTATCAATGGTGAGTGGAGTTATGGATAGAGGAAGATGAACTGAGAGGGTAAATATGTGTGTATGTGTGTCACACACACGGGTGTATATGTATGTAAATATATGTGTGTGTGTGTGTGTGTATGCGTGTTGGGGCTAGAAATTAGTTTTAAATATCTAACAGCTTATTGGCTATCCTTCCAAATCGGCGCAGAATAAAATAGAAAGGGAGAGATAAAATAAATTATACATAACTTACTAATCTGGGAACAGCTGACCATTATTATTATTATTATCATTATTACTATTATTATTTTATCGTCATCATCATCTTCATCATCACAACACTAACAAAAAAAAGAGGCAGTTCAAATGAAAATACAGTCGTTGAAAACAGAAAAACCCCAAACAAACCTCTGACATGCAGAATAGAATGACGGCGCCCCTGGAAGCCGAACCCCACATGGAGTCTTCTGAGAGAGGAACAGTCAGGACAGAGAGGGAGGGGTGTGTGTCTGTGTTGTTGTTGTTGTTGCTTATTCAGAGGTGAACAATCCAAACTCCGGGGTGGGGTGGGGGTGTCTGGTGGGAGGTGGGGGGTGGGATAGCACATCCTTGCAGCGGCTGGTTGGGGGGGGTATTTATTATACCGTGAAATCCTAGAACACCAATGATGATGGCAGGTGACCTGACGCCATTTCACAGGGAGCTTCTTACGGACCCTGCTATCACCTTCACGTGCCCAAGCACCTGCACCTGCTCTGCTGACACCAGAAAGGCAGGGGGAGTGACGGTGGTGGTCGGGGCTGAGGGGCTCCAACAGGCCCCACGTGGCTGGGGTGCAGTGCCTTTCCATCAGGCCCCACGTGGCTGGGGTGCAGTGCCTTTCCATCAAACCCTGGCTTGGTTGTTTTAACGACATGAGAAACACTTGGCCTCCGGCTTGTGAAAAGGCTGGAGGCCTCGGCCTCCTGTCCTAGAAAGATGAAACTCCTCCTCCTGAAACCAAAGCTCAGTCCTTCCCTGGACTGCCAGTGTTGGGGGGGCAGGAGCCCCCAGTTCTGCCGGTGGGAAATGGTGGGGGGGGGACAGACGTGGGGGAGTGCAAGGATGGCTGTCTTTTGCAGTATCAATGGGGTGGGAGGCGGGGAACCAAAGGAAACAAATAAACCCAGACAACAACAACAACAACAACAACGACAAATCACTGAGTAGCAAACATTATTGTCTGTCTGGGGGAGCGGGGAAGTTTGCTAGTAGCTTTCTTGTTACACAAAACACACCTCTATTTTACAGGGCCAAGTGTGTGTGTGTCTGTGTGTCATCCATCCAATAACCAAAGCATGTTCATCTTAGAAACCTAAAAAACACAATGTCTGAGCCCTATCGCTTGGTTGTCCTTCGAAGTGCAAAAGTCAAGGTCAAGGGTCGGTCTAGACCAGGGGGTGCGGGGTGGGTGGGGGTTCTGGGATTTCATCCCTAGCTATGCATTTCGCTCACAAGGGGTTCGCCTTATCTTATTCAGTACCGTAAATCACACACATACGAACGTACACACACAGAAAACCCAAGGTCAGAAAATAGTCTCTTCTCTACATTTCTTAATCTCTCTCTCTTCACCTGAGAACAGCACCTATAGTTTCCATTTAAAAAATAAAAAGAGAATCGTGAGCAGAAGAGCAGGTCAGCCGCACCAGCTGCTGGTAGGTTTCAGTCTCTTGTTGGAGTTATTATTTTTTTTTTCCAAGGGATTGTCTGAGATCTCACACGGTCCTAACTCAAGAAACCCAAGAGGAGCTCGCACACACAGGAGAGAGGAGGGAAGGGGGGGAGAGGAGGGGGACGGGGGAAGGCAAGCAGCAGGGCGGTGGGGGGCCAGGCCTGGGCCTGTGGGGGGGCCAGGCCTGCGGTGGGGGGCCAGGCCTGGGCCTGTGGTGGGGGGGGCCAGGCCTGCGGTGGGGGGCCAGGCCTGGGCCTGTGGGGAGGGGCCAGGCCTGGGCCTGTGGGGAGGGGCCTATGCCTGCGGTGGGGGGGCCAGGCCTGGGCCTGTGGTGGGGGGGACCAGGCCTATGCCTGTGGTGGGGGGGGGCCAGGCCTGGGCCTGTGGGGGGGACCAGGCCTGTGGTGGGGGGGCCAGGCCTGGGCCTGTGGTGGGGGGCCCGGAGGCCTAGCCTGGCCTCCTTCTCCTGGTCCTCCGTCTTGGAGGCTCAGAGACGGGCAGGGGCGCAGCACAGCCAAGAGAGATCCGTCTTCCCTTGGTTGGATTTTTTCCTGTCGGGTGCATTGCCAGAACCACCAACAATGGAAGAAAAAAAAAAAGCAAAAACCGTCACCCAGGGGCCAGGGAAGGAAAAGAAAAGAAGAAAGGGAGGAAAGAAAAAACAACAAGAAACAATGAAAGAAGGGGGGTCCCCTCTGCAGCCGGACTCGCCACCCGGGAAGATGGACACACGGACGCACCAGATGCGCGCGTTTCCTTAGAGGAAGAGACCGCGGCCTGGAGCCGCCGCCACCACGGAAAGGAGAACACATTCACGAAGCCACTTGCTGGCACTGTGTACCTGAGTGAGAGTTTCTAGAACGTCGTAGAACAAACAGCCATAGAGTTTATTTTTTTTTCCTTAAAAAAAAAAGAAAGAAAGAGGAAGAGGAGGAGAAGGGGGGGAAGGGAAGGGGGAGGAGGAAGAGGGGAGGAGGAAGAGAGGAGGAGGAAGAGAAGGAGGAGGGGGAGGAAGGGGAGGAGAGGGAGGGGGGAGGAGGGGGAGGGGTAGGAGGAAGAGGAGGGGGAGGGGAGGAGGAGGAGGGGGAGGAGGAGGGGGAGGAGGGGGGGAGGGGGAGGAGGAGGGGGAGGAAGGGGGGGAGGGGGGAGAAAGGGGGGGAGGAGGGGGAGGGGGAGGAGAGGGAGGGGGGGAGGAGGGGGAGGGGTAGGAGGAAGAGGAGGGGGAGGGGAGGAGGAGGAGGGGGAGGAGGGGGAGGAGGGGGAGGAGGAGGGGGAGGAAGGGGGGGAGGGGGGAGGAAGGGGGGGAGGAGGGGGAGGAGGGGGAGGGGGGGAGTAGGAGGAGGAGGGGGAGGGGAGCAGGGGGAGGAGGAGGAGGAGAGGGAGGAAGAGGAGGGGGAGGAGGGGGAGGAGGGGGAGGGGGAGGAAGGGGGGAGGGGGGAGGAAGGGGGGAGGAGGGGGAGGAGGGGGAGGGGGAGGAGGGGGAGGAAGGGGGAGGGGGGAGGAGGAGGGGGAGGAGGGGGAGGGGGGAGGAGGAGGGGGAGGAGGGGGAGGGAGGGAGGAGGACACACACGGCGAGGATCCACACGGACGAGTCGACGGGTCGGGTTCAGCGCCTGGCGGAGCAGCTGAAGTTACTGGCATTGTTTCTGGTTTTTGTAGTTTGTGTGTGTGTGTTTTACCCATAGCTTATTTCCGTCTCGCGCCGCCGCTGGTCCGGGTCGGTGGCGGGTCTGTCTGTCGGTCGGTCGGTCGGTCGGTGTTTGTCCTCCGTCGGCGCCCTCGCGGGGGAGGGGGTGAAGTCTCGGCTAGGTTAGACTCGGGTGTGAATGGTTGTCCGCGCCGCCGCCGCCGCCGTCGGGGCCCGGCCGCGCCCCGCCGCACCCCGCCGCACCCCGCACCGCACCCCGCGCCCGCGTCCCGCCCGGCGCCCGGGCCCCGCCCCATCAGTTGGCCGGCCCGGCCAGCGCGTGCTCGCTGTCGCTGCCGAAGTCCACGTCGGGGTCGTCGTCGTCGTCGTCGAAGTCGTCGTAGGCGTCGCCGTTGAGCTCGTCGGGCCGCAGCAGCTCCTCCTTGAGCGCGGCGCGGGGCTCGGCGGGGCCGGGGCCGGGGCCGCCCGCCACGCCCGGCGGCCCGGGCTCGGGGCTGGACGACACGCTCGACGGCTCGGACGGCAGGTGCGGCGAGGGCAGGCCGGCCACGGCCAGGGCGCCGGGGTACACCACGCCCGCGGGCGCCAGCGGGAGCGCGGGCTGCTGCCTGCGGGCGGGAGGGGCGGCGGTCAGCGCGGGCGCGGGCGCGGGTGCGCGCAGGCGCGGGGGAGCGCCGCCGGCCGGACGGCACCAGTGCGCAGGCGCCGCCGGCCGGGACCCCACCAGTGCGCAGGCGCCGCCGGCCGGGACCCCACCAGTGCGCAGGCGCCGCCGGCCGGGATCCCACCAGTGCGCAGGCGCCTCGGGCCCGGACCGCACCAGCCCAGTGCGCAGGCGCCACCCGCCAGGACGGCATCAGTGCGCAGGCGCCTGGGGCCCGGACCGCAGGAGCCGCTCCAGTGCGCAGGCGCCGCCTGCCAGGACGGCATCAGTGCGCAGGCGCGCTCAGCCCACCTTTGGCTTCTCGCTTTCTTTCTCCGCCTCTCCCCGTCTGTCTATGTAGATCATCGCGGGAAGGCGGCCCGCGTGCCCAGCACGTGCGTGTCAGAGCGGCGAGGCCGCCCAGCTCACACCGGACCGGCGGGGCCTGTGCCCTCCCGGGCCGGGCCGGGCGGGGCACGTGCGTGTGTCTGGGCATGCGCATGCGCGCGCGTGAGTGCGTCTGCGCGCACAGATCTATGATCTACACATGCGTAAGCACGCACAGTGTGCCAGCGTGTATACACATCCCCATGTCTATCGTCACACACCTAACACCTGCGCAAGCAGTGTTCGTGTGAGTGCGCATGCCTGTGATCCACACGCGCACACGCACTCTGTTCACATGAATGAGTGTAAGTGCGCACGCCTGTGATCCACACGCACAGGCACGCTGTTCTCCACGTGTGAGTGCGCACGCCTGTGATGCACACACGCACACACGCACCAGTCGGGTGGCTGCGTAGCCAGCTCTGCGCAGAGGACGGCAGCAGGCCCGTGCGTGCACACGCGTGTGCGCATGTGTGTAGTGTCTGATGGTCCGCCCCGCGGCCCTCTGGCCGGTCAGGTGGGGCCCAGAGCCCCGCCCCCGCCGCGGGCCCCGCCCCTTCTCCACAAGCCCCGCCCCTCTCCCTGCGTCACCCCTGCCTCGCGCCCCGCCCCTTCTCCCTGCGTCACCTCCTGCCTCGCGCCCCGCCCCTTCTCCCTGCGTCACCTCCTGCCTCGCGCCCCGCCCCTTCTCCCTGCGTCACCTCCTGCCTCGCGCCCCGCCCCTTCTCCCTGCGTCACCTCCTGCCTCGCACCCTGCCCCTTCTCCCTGCGTCACCTCCTGCCTCGCGCCCCGCCCCTTCTCCCTGCGTCACCTCCTGCCTCGCGCCCCGCCCCTTCTCCCTGCGTCACCTCCTGCCTCGCGCCCCGCCCCTTCTCCCTGCGTCACCTCCTGCCTCGCGCCCCGCCCCTTCTCCCTGCGTCACCTCCTGCCTCGCGCCCCGCCCCTTCTCCACAGGCCCCGCCCCTCCTGCGTCACCCCTCGCCTCGCGCCCCGCCCCTTCTCCCTGCGTCACCCCCTGCCTCGCGCCCCGCCCCTTCTCCGTAGGCCCCGCCCCCTCTCCCTGCGTCACCCCCGCCTCACGCCCCGCCCCCTCTCCCCGGGCCCCGCCCCTGTCCCGCCCCCCTGCCCCTCGCCGCGCATGCGCACCCGACGCTGAAGTACTGTCGCATCTCCTGGCGCCGGTTGCGCATGATGGCCTTGTACTCGCCGATGCGCAGCTTCTTGCCGTCCACCAGGCAGGTGCGCTTGGGCCGCGGCTTGTACTTGTAGTCCGGGTACTTCTCCAGGTGCTGCTTGCTCAGCCGCGCCTGCTCCTCGTAGTACGGCTGCTTCTCCAGGTTCGTCATGGCCTTCCAGCGGGACCCTGGGGGCCGGGGCGGAGGGCGGGTCAGGGCGGAGGAAGCGCGCACGTGCGCGCATGCGCACCCTGGGCCGGGCGCGGAGGCCGGCGCGGGCAGGACACGGCCGCACCCCGAGCTCGGGCCCGGTGGCGCTGAGGGCGGGGTGTCCAGGCCGAGGCCCCGCCCTCACCCACAGCCCCGCCCCTGCCTCCCAGCCCCGCCCCCGCCTCCCAGCCCCGCCCACAGCCCCGCCCCTGCCCACAGCCCCGCCCCTGCCTCCCAGCCCCACCCCCGCCTCCCAGCCCCGCCCACAGCCCAGCCCCTGCCCACAGCCCCGCCCCCGCCTCCCAGCCCCGCCCCCGCCTCCCAGCCCCGCCCACAGCCCAGCCCCTGCCCACAGCCCCGGCCCTGCCTCCCAGCCCCGCCCCCGCCTCCCAGCCCCGCCCACAGCCCAGCCCCTGCCCACAGCCCCGGCCCTGCCTCCCAGCCCTGCCCACAGCCCCGCCCCTGCCTCACAGCCCCGCCCCCGCCTCACAGCCCCGCCCACAGCCCCGCCCCTGCCTCACAGCCCCGCCCACAGCCCCGCCCACAGCCCGGCCCGAAGCGGGGAGGCCGACCCGCCAGGTGCAGCTTAAATCTCCAGAGGCTGGAGCTGTGGGTGGGGGACAGGGCAGAGGCGGAGGCTGGAGCTGTGGAGGACAGGGCAGAGGCGGAGGTTGGAGCTGTGGGTGGGGGACAGGGCAGAGGCAGAGGCTGGAGCTGTGGGTGGACAGGACAGAGGCGGAGGCTGGAGCTGTGGAGGACAGGGCAGAGGCGGAGGCTGGAGCTGTGGGTGGGGGACAGGGCAGAGGCGGAGGCTGGAGCTGTGGGTGGACAGGGCAGAGGTGGAGGCTGGAGCTGTAGAGGACAGGGCAGAGGCGGAGGCTGGAGCTGTGGAGGACAGGGGAGAGGTGGAGGCTGGAGCTGTGGAGGACAGGGGAGAGGCGGAGGCTGGAGCTGTGGAGGACAGGGCAGAGGCGGAGGCTGGAGCTGTGGGTGGACAGGGCAGAGGCGGAGGCTGGAGCTGTGGAGGACAGGGCAGAGGCGGAGGCTGGAGCTGTGGAGGACAGGGGAGAGGCGGAGGCTGATCGGCTGTGGGTGGAGGGCAGGGCAGAGGTGGTCTGTCCACAGGTCCACCAGATCTGGACGGTGGGGAGCAGAGCCAGACCTCCCTGAGCACCTGCTTTCTTGTCTCCATGAGGACATTGATTCGATCCTGAGCTGGCCTCAGGGCTAATCGTCAGCCATAAAGACTAGACTATGCGTTAATGATGACACAAATCGACTCTCCTCCTCTTCTGCTCACCATTACTTTTGGTCTGGGTCCCACTGGTCTTGAGGAAAGCCAGCCTCCAACTTAACTAAGCATAGCTGATCATCGGAGGTGTAGCAGAGCAGTGCGGCGTAGCCACAGAAAGAACAGAATGACAGAAAGAAGAGAGATGGAGGAAACGATTGCTGTTTTAAAGGCTGGATTCAAGATGGTCCTGTAGAGGAAGTGCTGGTACGTATGCCAGGGGTCAGCTTAACTTGGCTCACAGGTGCAGAGAGCCAGAACCCTCCTGGCAGAAGAGAAGGCAGGGGAGCTACCCAACAAGTTCACCACATGCAGGGGCCTTCCCACCTAGGGCTCCTACTAGAAGCAGGCCCTGCACTCTAGACCATAAAGTCCTGGGCCACAATGCGATTCTTTTCTGAGTAGTTTAGTCCTCAGACTCATGGAGCAGAACAAGTCCCATTGCTACTGCCCTCTTCCTGAGTCATCTAAGTCAGGACTGCTTCCTGGCTCAACCGCTAACTCCAGACTTCTCGTGCAAAGTGTTAACCATGAGTGAATCTTGGTGAATCTTCAAACATACACAGTCATCTTTCCTAAAACCTGAAGTCAAGGTTGGAAGGGAGGGGGGTATCTCTGTCCCTCCACTGATCCTGTTGGAACCAATATTGGCATGCACAGTGATCTGCATTCCACAGACACTTACGTATAAATATGAATTATATGATCAATATTAATGATCATGATTATATTATGAATACTAATTATATGTAAACATGTTTCCTCAGTCTAGCTAGATAACATAAGTCTACTCTATTTACCCCAGAAACTGAGGTGGTAGTTTCAGTCATTAGCATTCATTTTTCTTTCTCTGATGTTGTTTATACGGTATGGTTCGGTGCTCAGCCAGTGAGCTCAGCCATCATACTTTTTACATCTAATCTCATCATTTGACCAACGCCATCTCTGGAGTTACTTGCATGTGACTTTGCTCTTCTCAGGGCACATATAAATGTAGATAAAGTTAAAATCCTTGAGTTAGGTCAACTCTTCATGGTGCTTCCTGCCAGCATGTGTACTGGTGTTCTGAACCTCTAACAGGGAGTTTAAAAAAGGCAAACTTACCAGAAATAACTTCCTGGTAAAAGAGGAATACACTGAAAAATGGATCAAAGGTTGCTGACTTAACATAAAATCTACTATTTTTATTCCAATGGAAGGAAGAAATCAGCATGTGTGGCCGAAATAGGAATCACTAAAGCTTTTTCCCTAAAGCTAACTAACTGTCTGGAAGTTCTCAAAGACTCAGTTTCCCTAAGGAAAAGAACACTGAAGTGACCTGCATTGGGATACAAGAACTGTTTCTGTATGTCCTACCATGTGCTGTACTGTCCTACTAGGTGCATAACACTGCATCGGTGAGCAGATATACAGAAGCAAAGGAGAGAGTCGCGGTTCCTGCCTCCCTGGGTGTAGACTGGGCCGGGAAACACACATTGGGTAGTTCATTGCAGGATCGATTAATTATGTCTGTGAGAGGCACAGGAAAGCAAGCCATGTGTAACACGGAGGCCAGCCCAAGGCCAGGCACTGGCAGCTCACTTGTCATCCTAGCTGCTCGGGAGGCTGAGAGCTGAGGATCCCAATTTGAAGCCAGCCCCGGCAGACAAGTCCAAGAAGCCAGCAGAAAAGCCGGGGGTGAGGAAGTGATTGGAGTGGTAGAGCACCAGCCTTGGGTGGAAATGGCAAGGTAGAGCGAAAGGCCCCGAGTTCAAGCCCCAGTTCCAGCACACACACACCCCAAAAAAGGCAAAAACTCAAACTTCTGTAGATCCACAAAAATGTCTCCTCAGGAGGGTCAGAAAGAAGACAGCATGCTACAAGGGATGGTGTGGGGAGGAATTAGAGGAGCTTACAGCTGATCCAAGACTACTGCTGAGCAAGAGCCACAGGCAGATAACACAAGGAAAGGCGTCATAGTGATGATATATAATATCTACATATAGAATATGTATTATATATATATAGGAGGAAACATACATGTTTCCTCAGTCTAGCTAAATGATTCTGTCCTATTTATTCCAATAGGTTATGGCTATATATATGACAAAATATATTGTCATATATATCTGATGTATCATATATTATATATATATATACCACAACTGAGGGTATGGTACATATTATACATATATAATACACACACACACACACACACACACACACACACACACACACATATGTTCTTCAGTTGTTTTCCAACTCTATCAAGGTTTCTTGCTTTCTTTTTTCTTTTTTAAAAACTGGGGCTTGAACTCAGGTCCTAGTTGCTGTCCTTGAGCTTCTTTCGCTCAAGGCTGGCGCTCTACCACTTTGAGCCATAGCTCCATTCATAGTTTTCTGGTGGTTTTATTGTTGCTGGTGGTGGTCGTGGGGCCTGAACTCAGGGCCTGGGCACTGTCCCTCACCTCTTCAGCTCAAGGCTAGAGCTCTACCACTTGAGCCACAGCGCCACTTCTGGCTTTTTCTGTGTATGTGGTGCTGAGGAATCGAACCCAGGGCCTTATGCATGCAAGGCAAGCGCTCTACCACTGAGCCACCTTCCCAGCCCAGTTTTCTGGTGTTTTGTAGGAAATAAGAATTTCCTGCCTGGGCTGGCTTTACACCATGATCTTCAGGTCTTTTGAGAGCAGATCTCACTGTGTAGGTCCAGGTTGGCCTCAAACTCTCTATCCTGTATCCTCAGCCTCTCTAGTTCTGTGACTACAAGTATGTACCACCAAGCTGGGCCTTCTGAATTTTCCAGCTTAGAATTAAGGTAGCCTAAGAGCTGATGGGCACATTCTATGATATCCCAGAAGAGGGCCTCAGGTGGGCAGCACATCTTCATTTTCTTTTCTAAAGATGGCTGAGAGTTAGGATAAGTGATTGACAGGTTCATTTGGGGTTTGGATGGCTTTGAAGTTCTGACAGCTTTCGGCTACAGCTGCAGTAAAATTCGCCCAAATACACACAACTTAGGAATGCTGGGAGATTTGTTTTTTTGGCTACATCCAAAGCGGAGCGCATCCCTAGTTCTTTCCAGAGGCTGCCATTCGAGCCGGACACCAGTGGCTCACACCTGTCATCCTAGTTACCAAGGAGGCCGAGATCTGAGGATTGTGGTTCAAAGCCAGCCCGGGCAGGGAAGTCTGTGCAACTCTGATCTCCCATGAACCACTAGAAAACCAGAAGTGGAGCTGTGGCTCAAAGTGGTAGAGCACCAGCCTTGAGCTGAAGAGCTCAGGGACAGCGCCCAGGCCCTGAGTTCAAGTCCCAGGTTTGACAAAAAAGAATAAAGAAGGATACCATTTGGCAAGAAAATAAAGAGTGGAGGACAGTTGGACATGCCTCCTGGTTCACAAAAGGGGGAAAAAACTCATTCCTTTTCTGATGCTCAAAATAAGGAAAAGTACTCTCCTCTCTCTTCCCTTCTAAGCCAGGGGGTGTCGGAGTGGGGAGCCTGAGCAGGCCGGCGCTGTCATCTCCATGGGGTAGGTAATGAATTTGCACGTTTTACACCGACTACTGTACAGCTAATCAGAAAAAGATGTTACCCCGTTCCCTGATCTCGTGCCAAACAGTAAAAGGTGATTCTTTATGTTAACAATTTCAGCAGAATGGCTTATTAAAACCAGATTTTAGGGTATTATAAAATGTCAACTCGGATCCCCAGAGACTGTGTAAAATGTCAGCGCGGCTCAGGCGCCTGTTTTAAGCAGAATGAATTAGCAGCATGCAGGCGAAGGTTCTTATCCAAAACTATCAGGAAGGAGGAAAACACCCGCGCTTGCTTGCTTTGTGCTTTCATCTGAAATGGCCCATTTAGAATGATCTCGTGGATATTTGAGACCGCTTATTTCTTTTAAAACTAGGACTGACTCTTGGGGTCCCAACCCCCATACCAAGTGTTTATTTATTTATTTTTTTGCCAAACATAAACGCTCTATCTTGAATCGCAAGGATGGAACCAGGCAGTGTTTTCCCTCCTGAAGTCTCAGTGATCCACCCTCGCACACTCATTCTTCTAATCTCTCCTTCAGATCGGCCGTCTGTTTGCCTTCTTTCTGAACGTATCATCTCACATCCTCCAGGCTGGCACTTCCTTGAGGGGACTTTAGGGTAAAGTGTCAGAAGGTGACACTGAATAAACTGTGTCTTCAACTAATGGAAAGACGGCTGCTTTGGGAAATCACGGTAGTTTTAGATTTCACCAGATCCAGGAATCACTTTATAACACACGTAAAAAGCTTACACAAAATAGTCTAAGCTTTTCTAGAAGTTTTCCAAACAAAACAAGGTATATATGTGTGTATATATATATTATATAATATGTATTATATATATTTAAATGCTGGTACTGGGGCCTGAACTCAGGCTCTGGTTGTTGTCCATGAACTTTTTTTTTTTTTTTTTTGCACAAGGCTAGCACCTTTCCACTTCTGGGTATTTGGGGGTTAATTGGAGATAAGAGTCTCGTGGACTTTTTTATGAGGAAGAGAAAATACAGTTACACAGAAAGCAATCAGAGAGGGCAAAATTGCAAAAGAGTATGCATCTCCTATCAGCCACATTTTCAACTTTGCCTACATACATATTTTACAACATAGATGTTCACGGTTTCTCAGTAGGCCTAAAGCACCACATTATCTTATCGTTTGAGAAAATCTTCGTACACTGCTCTCAAGATCATTTCAAAGGAGACTATTGGAATATAAGTTTCAGTGGCTCATGGATTTGTTTTGATCATATTACAAATACAAGAACAAATTTTAAAAAATGTATTCCTGTGTCTGGAAGCACTTTTAGATGGTCTGTTTCTTAATTCTGAAAGAGATGCCATTTTCCTAAAGCTTTAATAACTTCGATATAATTTGTTGCTCATTTATGAAAGCTATCCTTTATTGATTTACTTCCTAAATTATCTTTAAGTTGTTTTACGTCTTCATCCATGTTACCCCTTGGACAAACCACGAAAATCTGCCTAGGGCGCCCAGTATCTGCCGACCCTGAATTGTGAAGATGAAGAGGATGATGGTGATGGTGGTGGAGATCAAGAGGTCCGTGGAAACTTTGTTCCTTTCTTCTGGGATGGAGACTGACTATATAACAAATCCCTAATAACCAGGCCCTTGCTCCCCACCCGCCTTTTCTGCGTGCTTGAGGCTCTGTATTTGTAGGGTGAATGTCTGCCTTGTTTTCTGGTTCAGCTCATTATTAAAAGGATTAAGGATGACCAGTGTGTACATTAAAATATGCTCTACACCTTGTGCTCAGGCTCTAAACTGACTTCTAATGATAGCACACCGCTCTACGCACACCTATGATGAACCCACACAAACCCCTCCATCTTGTGGCATGTGGGATGGGGGGAGAGCGCCGGGGGTACCAGAAGAGCAGCAGCAACCTCCAGAGTCCACAGAGAAAAAGAACAGAGACAGCCAGCCAAAATACGGGGTGGTTCATCCAAAAGCAACTAATTTCTCCTCAGTCATCACTGAAGATATTTGTAGATTTTAAAAAGGAGAGAGAATACAGAACGTGGAGAGGTGGCTCGAGTGGTACAGTGCCAGATCTGGGCGAAAAGAAAAGAAAAGAGACAGCACCCAGGCCCTGCGTTCAAGAGCCCAGCACTGGCACTCACGTCAGAGGCGGGCGGGAAGGCTGTGCTAATCAGCAGGGAGACCTTCAGCCAGCCGAGCCGGCTATGGAAGTGAGGCAAGGTTCTTGGTGCACTGGGGTACTTTCCCCAACAGCAGGGTCCGTGGTGGTGGTTGGGTGGGGGGCAGCGGAGGGGGGGCCCGCAGAGGAGCAGCTCACTCCTGTGTCCCCGGCCGCAGAGAGCAGCCCCCATCGCCCTTCGCGGCTTCTTACCTAGGATCTTGCTGATGTTGGAGTTGTGCATGTCAGGAAAGGCCTGCAGGATCTTCCTGCGCTCATCTTTCGCCCACACCATGAAGGCATTCATGGGACGCTTGATGTGGGGTTCGTTGCTGCCACGACCCCTCGACTCCCGGTAAATTCTTGACTCTGAGACTCCCGCACTCCCTAGGCCATGGGAGAAAACAGACGTGGCCTGTCAGTCAGCAGGAACGCTCACAGCTCACACCAGCTCTCTCCCTTGCCTGTTCTTTCTTAATTTTTCTTTTAGCCTATTAAAATATTTGAAAACAACAAGTTGTTCTGAGCTTGGGACTTCCAGTTCTTAAGACAGATGCTTGTTTTTGAAGGTTTTTTTTTTTTCCCTTGATCAGCCTTGTGGTGGTAAATGTTATATTTGTATTTCTAATTTTAAAAGTTTTTCCTTTTGTTCCATTTTTTTTCCCATTTCAAGAGCTCACAAGAAACATACATACGATGTATAGGATATGTTTGATATTATAGGTATAATATATGTGCTTGTGAGCTCTTGAAATCAAATATATATATGTATATATATATATATATATATATATATATACACATGATTTTTGACGCAATTTCAAAAGATACTAGTAGATGAACAGGCATGCAAAAATATAAAAAATGTAAATAAATTAACTGAACTGTGAAATGTTCATCCTTGTGGCAGAATGGATTAATTAAGGTGAGTATCTGCCTTTTCTACTTAGTGACGGTCAGAGCATAAAGAACATAAAGAACCTAAAGAAAAATGTGCTAGAATTATGAGGGTGGAACTACAGTATGAATACTTTAATGTGATTAGCTTCTCTTTGAAGTAACCTGCTAATATATGCATGAAGCATATTGTTTCAATCAGGGTAGTCCTTTCCCCCCCAAAAAATAAGTCTATGACAATTATAAGGGAAAGCACGATGAATCATTGTCACTATGGCTTCCTTAAGAGTCTTGCTGTCCTTTCGCTGGGCACTGGTGGCTCACGCCTGCCATCCTCACTAGTCGGGAGGCTGTGATCTGAGGATCACGGTTCAAAGCCAGCCCGGGCATTCTATCTAGTTCTCACTGTCTCTCAGGCATAATACACATCCTTTAGTCTGACAAAGGGCAGGAATTAATTTACATCCAGCACGGTTACATTTAACCAACGCCAGCCACACGCTCTGGGGCGTTGGAACTCTGACTGCGCCGGGTACCTGTATTTTACCATGCTCACACACGTCAACATTTACGGAATGTGCCATTACCACGTCATTGTCTCTCTTATTGACAAGCATTAGTGTGAATCGATGGCACCAGCTTTCTAAAATGGGTTTGTAACTAGCGGATGATCCAGCCGCAGGTCTGCTTTTCCTTCTTCCTACACCCTGTAGTGCCAGCAGGACCCTAAAAGGCCCATTTGTGGCTTCCTCTAATCTGAACAAGCTCTTTTCTATGTATGTAGGCCAGGTTGCTTCTAGCCTGGTGAATGGAAAGGAAACACGCACGTATCAGATGGCAAACAAAAGCAGATTGTTTTCAGCGATCCTTTTGAATCAAGTTCAGTGTGGGCAATCAGGACACTGATAGGGGAAAGCATGCTTGCCCAGGATGGTGCACACCCCCCCAAGCCACTGGATCGCCAAGGTGGTGTAGGTGGAGGGGCTTCCTTGTCCTGATGCAGTCTAGCTACCAGGAGCTTTGCTTTTTTAACCGGAGCAAAGTTGAGGGTTAGGCCTCTAAAGGAATGTGAAATACACGGACACCCCCTGACACCAGAGGAAGATTTCCCAGGCAGGGGTGCTGTCTTGGTATTGCTCCTCTTCGTTCTATGACAAGGACAGCGTTGATCGATTGGCTGTGGGTTTGCAAGATGCAAAGGCGGCACATCGCATGAGCTACTGTGCTTGATTCTGCCGAAGCCCCGCCGGGTTATCCGCAGCGTGTGTGTGCCTCTGACGGAGGGGAGAGGACATGGAAGTAGCTGGCCTGAACTTGTCCTCTAAGTCAGGGAAACTGAGAAATGAGCCCATAGACCCCCCCCCCTTTCTGAACAGCTGGTCTAGGGTACAAGCAGGAAGGCCATGCAGAGAGGACTCAAAGCCTTTGTTCTTGAATGACATCCTCTTGAATCTAATCTGTAGCTTTCGCACTCAGAACCTAATGGCTTTGCATAAACAATGAAAAAGAAAAAAAAAACCAGTATGTGCCCATTTGGGAGAGGAATTAATGAAGGTGGACAGGAACTGCTCTCACTGTAGTGATGGGGCATCGCGTGACCACACCGTCTACCTGATGATCAGGCACCACGTGACCACACCGTCTACCTGATGACCAGGCACCACGTGACCACACTGTCTACCTGATGATCAGGCACCACGTGACCACACCGTCTACCTGATGACCAGGCACCACGTGACCACACTGTCTACCTGATGATCAGGCACCACGTGACCACACCGTCTACCTGATGACCAGGCACCACGTGACCACACTGTCTATCTGATGCAGCTTTCAGGGCGCTCTACCCCCCCCCAACGTGATAAGCACAGAGGTACAAGGAATCGCCAACGAACCATCCGAGTCTCCGCTCATATTGAAATCCATGATTGTATGGCTAAATTTCCCTTCTTCGCTCTGTTTGGCTGCCAGCTGCTGGGTCAGGCTCTCCAGCGTGGTTTTCTCCTTTCAAAGAAGAGAAACGTAAAAATGAGAACCTGGAAGCGGAAAGCAGTCAAAGACATTTCATTCTCCCCGGGCGTCTCTCACAGACGAGCTTCTGGAAGGAGGGAGCAAGGCTAACAGATTCACCTTGGCCTGGTCAGCACATTACACTGAGATAAGTACAGTAAGGAAAGCAAGAGCAAGAGTTTTGTTACTTTTTTTTTCTTTTTTTGCAGGAACTCTGATTCTCAGAAGCCCCTGCAAATCTTGGCATTTGAGTTTGAGACGCCTAAAAGAAGATGTGCTGAGGGTCCCAAGTCACCAAAGAGACACAGGATGTTCACAGGAGCGACCTGCTTTGTGTCTGGAAGGCTGTTTGATTTGTAGCTAGACAGCTGAGTGTGGCAAGGGTCCTTGGGTACGGCTCCCAACAGTCAGGTGACCAAGTGAGAAACAGAATTCACACTGGCGCACTCCGGTTACCATTACTGTAAATGCCATTTGCATTCCTCACGTGCAGGTAATGAAGTCATGTAAATAGGCATTGCTAATTGATTGTACTTCTCTATGTACATCCACACGGTGAGTGCCTGCTACTTGGACCACAATTTGGCGTGCATTTGCTAAACCTAAATAATCAGTTGGCGGGTTAGGAGAGATAAAGCACATACCCAGATTGTCTATTCAAAGACAGCCAATCATTTGAACACAGGTGGTGTGTGATCTGAACTCACAAACTAAACTATAGGCCCAATGCCAGGGACTCAGGCCTCTAATCCTGGCTCCTCAAGAGGCTGAATTCTGAGGATCATGGTTCAAAGCCAGCCTCAGCAGGAAAGTCTGTGAGACTCTGATCTCCAGTTAAGTACCAAAAAGCCTAGAAGCGGAGCTGTGGCTCAAATGGTAGAGAGCAAGCCTTGAGCACAAAAGCTCAGGGACAAAACCCAGGCCCTGAAATTCCTTAAAAAACAAACAAGTGAACCAAAAACATCTATTGGATCTTGTGATATTTGCTTAAGTTTCTTTGGAATTATCCTCCAAATTTTCCGAGGACCATAACCACAACATCTACTTGTGAATCATATGCACACAATAAAATGTTCACAATAAAACATTCACAGAAAATCATCAACTATGTAAGATGATTGCATTACAGGTAAACACAATGTTTCCGCAAAGCACCAACAGGCCATTGAAATGTTTGTGATTTCAATGTTACAAAACCGCTGATAGTACCAGAATGGTACCAATTAGGTTAAACAAGTTTCTTAAGTCCACGGAACCCCTACATTCTTTTCCTCAAACTCTGTACACGATTTAATAGGAAAAAATGCATTTTTAATTGCCAATCAATACATAAGGGAATAAGGAAACAAAGCAGCAGATAGTATTTATTTTTAGAGGATTAGGTGGCCGCCAAGTTGGAAATGAGATATACAATTAAAAAGATGGAACTCTGAGGGGATGGGGTGGAAAAGTGTTTCCACTGGTTACAGAATTTGCCTGGTGAGTGCAAAAGCCCTGAGTTCAAGCCCAGGACTGATGCTAAATAAATAAGATAGATAGATAGATAGAGCTTGACCCAATTTGTTTTGAGTATGGAATTGGCGTTTTTTAGCTTTCAACATTCTGGAATTCTTTTCCGGAGAGTCTGCTGTCTATATTCAGAATAGCTCAGGAGCTACAAAGGACCACTAGCTTAACAGATTCTCTTTACAGTAAATGGAGCTGTTCAAAATAAAAGACAGTTACATTGCGTGCGCGTGCGCACACACACGTGCATGCACACGCGCGCACGCACACACACACACAGCATCAAGACTTCCCCATGCTTTCCTCAGAGAATGGAGATGGACTGGGGAGGCATTAACCCACAGGAACTGCTGTTGCTGTGAATGACTTGGCCTTGTTTTGCAGTACCAGGCTTTGAACTCTGGTCACTCAACTCCTGGGTGATTTTCTACTGGTTAGTTCTGACATAAAGTCTCTCCTCCTGCCCAGGTGAGCACCTTGTATGAGATGCATCTATGGTTGGAAAATAGTCCAGGGCCTCCCTGGCCTGATCTTCATTAAGAAGCTGACCCCTGAACTTTTACAGCCCTGGCTTGGTTCCAAACCCCTGACCGGAAGAATCTCAGACTCCCCAGGAGCCAGGATTACAGGCGGGAGCTCCAACACCTGCCCCGCGGCACCACTCAGGATTTGAATAAACAGCGTTACAGGAAAAGAACGCTACATTGTCTTTTTCTAGAGACTGTTCCATTCTGGTGAGCAAAGATGTCCAAGAAGAAATAGCAAAATGAAGGTCAGGAAGGGGAGAAAAGGAAGGCAATGCTCAGACTCTTCTCAGGTTCTGAGTTCAGATCTGTTGATCTTATCGGCACGTGACTAAGATGCTTAAATCTGCAGAGGATGCACAAGAGATGCAGCACTTCCTCATCCATTTTGATCTTACCATCAGTGGCCTCTGATTACATCTAAGTGTCTCTGAAGCACGCAGAGTACTAAGATTCACTTAGCTATAGCAAAGTGCAGTTTGCCAGTCTTCTCAAGAGAATGACTGCCGGGGAGAGTACGCATCAGCGGGGTGGGGAAATGCACAGCTAACTCTGTAGACTGAAGAGAGATGTGGTCAGGAGAAGAGGGAGGCAGAGAGGGACAGAGGCAGGGATGGAGACGGAATGCGAGCAATCGAGAAGGGCTGACATGCCCTTAACTCACATCTTGTTAGGATGTAAATCTAACCAGTGACAACATCGTATTTTAGAAACCTTAGCAGATGATGAGCTCAGAAGACAAAAGGATTTGCATGAGGGAGGCGGGGAGATAATAATTCCTATCAACATGGACCTTCCAGTTCCATGTTGTATAGTTGGAAGGTTCCGAGGTAGACATAAATTCAGTACAATCATGGAGGCACTCAAAAATTCCTTCCCCTCCATTCATTCGTGTGTGTGTGTGTGTGTGTGTGTGTGTGTGTGTGTGTGTGTGTGTGTGTGCAGGTACTGGGGCTTGAACTTGACTTGGTACTTGTACACACCAGGCGCCAGTGGCTCACACCTGTCATCCCAGCTACTCAGGAGGGAGAGATCTGAGGATCGTGGTTCAAAGCCAGCCAGGCCAGGAAAGTCCATGAAACCCTAATCTCTAATAAACTACCAGAAAACTGGAAATGGCGCTGTGGCTCAAATGGTAGAGCACTCGCTTGAGCTGAACAGCTGAGAGACAGTGCCCAGACCCAGAGTTAAAGCCCCATGCCCGACCAAATTAAAAAAAAAAAAAGGCTCTTACAATAGACTGGCAGCATTAACACTCAACCATTGGAGATTTTGCTCTTTGGTTGAGATATTCCATCTTGCAAAAGCCTCTTTTCAAAACCACAGACACTCCTGGGAAGGAGAATATTTTGATTCTAGAATTCTCCTAATTAGATATCTCTAAAGCAGAAGCCACTGCAAGCTAATAATGGCAGGAGGTACTCAGGGAAGAAAGGAGTTAACAGGGAAGATGAAGAAAATAGCACATGACAAAGTTTGGGGAGACAGAAATAAATGTTAAGGGGCCCGCCCAGTCTTGGTTTTAACTGGGTCTGATTAAAAAAAAATTTCTTTAGTTAAGAATTTGTTCAGATAGATGACACTACATACTTTTTGTTGTTGTTGTTTTGGTGCCAAACTTGGAGCATGAACTCAAGACCTGGACGCTGTCCCTGACCTTTTTCACTCAAGGCTAACGCTCTATCACTTGAGCCACAGCTCCAGCTCTCATAGGCTTTCCTGCTCAGGCTGGCTTTGAACCATGATTCTCACATCTCAGCCTTCTGCGTAGTTAGGATTACAGCTGTGAGCCTTAGGCACCCAGCTTCAAACTTTGATTTTGTTATTGTTGTTGGTGGTCATGGGGCTTGGACTCTGGGCCTGAGCGCTGTCCCTGTGCTTTTCAGCTCAAGGCAAGCGCTCTACTGCTTGAGCCACAGCGCCACTTCCAGTTTTCTAGTGGTTTATTGGAGATAAGAGTCTCATGGACTTTCCTGCCCGGGCTGGCTTTGAACTGTGATCCTCAGATCTCAGCCTCCTGAGTAGCTAGGATTATAGGCATGAGCCACTGGCGCCTGGCCAAACCTTGATTTTTAAGGACAGAGTTCTAAAACACAAATTTAGTATAATATTTAACTATTTTCAGTACTCATTATTATTCAAACATTAAGCTGAAACGTGTACCATTCATTGGTCTTTTCTTCCCTACCTTTTTTTTCCGTTTGAGAGAAAGCAGAAATCAACAACAACAAAAACATATTTAAGGAACTACTTGCCAAAATTCTGAACATCTCTGAATAATTTAGAGTAGAGGGCAAGAAAAAAATTACTACAAAATGGTCAAGATGAGAGTCCTCGGCAATTAAAAATAAAGACCAAACAAAATGATCTGTTTTTATTGCTGTCAAAATAAAAACTAGCAATTGGAGAGCAACCAGATTTCATTTGGAAAGAGGAATCCTGTCTGGCTAATCAAATCTGAACCAACTCTGCAGGTTTGCTAAGATCAAGAGGCAATGCTATATTATGTCCGTTATGCCTGGTCCTCTGGTGACCTGAGCACTTGGAATGAGTCAGATCTCAGCTGTAGAAGAAAAGGGAGTCGTGCACTAGAATTTAGGATGAATAATTCTGAACTCCAACGTTCAAAGTGCCATTATTAAATCGGGGACTGACTGGGGGGAACCGGCAACTGTTCTCTGGCTCTGTGTCTGAGCCAGGGACTGGTGCCAGCACTGTGTGTTGTTTGCTGATGGTGCCAGGCTATGGTGGAGATCAGAAAAGATCTAGAAAGAGGCAGGATAGTCAGTACAGATCCACACGTCTGCTTCTGCTGGCGAGAAATTTTCAGGGGTTAATGAGGAGAAAGACACACGTGATGTCAGAAAATAATGGGTTCGTCATAATCAGATTGTGACATAGCCATCTATCTATGTGTCTGTCATCTGAAGCCTATCATCTAACACTAGATATGAGATCGATTTC